GTAGAATTTAGATTTTTTTTTTCTTTTTTGGGAACAGCGAAATTATTTGATAATATTTTAAATGATTGATAATATTTTAATGATTGATATTATTGAAATGACTAATCAACACACACAAGTTGAAACTAGTGAAACAAGTGAAACTGGTTAATTACTAAAATTTCGATCCCCCCCTTAAAATACGTTCACATTTGTTTAATATTTTAATAATATTCACCGAATGTTCTTTGTTATATAATAAAATAAAATAAAATATAATATAATATAATAAAAATAATAAAGAATAATAAAATATTATAAAATATTATTATAATTATAAAATAAAATATAATGAACGTAATGGAAATTGAGAAGGAAATGATTAAATAATGAAATACGTATAATAAAACATGTATATGATATTTATGAAAAAGAATGAATTTACAATAATCACATAATAATCACATACTAATAAAATCAAAAAAAGATGCCCTTTATAGGCGTAAAAAAAGGGATAGAAAATTAAATAATTACGGCAATTAAAGAAATAATGAATGCACATGCGAATGTTGTATGTAAGTTAGATTGAATAATAATAATTGAATAAGGTAAATTTGCTTATCAAACAATAGATTCAATATTTCGATATTATAGCTTTGATGATAATAATAATGATAATAATAATAATGATAATAATAATGATAATAATAATAATAATAATGATAATAAATAATGATGATAATAATAATAAGGCTGAACGCACGGTTTTTTTTTTTAAAAAAAAAAACCTATTATGTATTTTGTTCATTTTGTTTTCGGACATTTTAAATTTATAACACGAGAAAAAATGACAAAAAAAAAGCAATCAATCATTCAGAATAAAGTACGTACACATGGAGAAAAACATGGAGAACGACATGGAAAAAGAGAATATATAATATGTATTGAATTTGATATTGTTTTAAACATGCAGATATAACAGAAAGTTGGATGATAATAAATATAATAATTGTGATATATTGAATGTTATAAAAATAACCTCTAAGAGAACAAAATCAACAAATTATAATATTTTGATAATATTAAAAATATCAAAACTATTTATTTATTAAGAATATTTTTTAAACAATGGATTGGATTAATAATAATTATTATTAACTGCTTAATTATTGATTAAATTAATTATCATCTTTATATCCATCGCCGATGTTTTTGTTGTTGTTGTTGTTGAAAAATATTACAAATATTAAAATATTTACCCGGGTTTTAATGATTTTAATTATTTAAAATTTTCCTTCTAACTTTATTTATTTCAAAATAATATAAATTCCGAAATAAACAAATAATAATAATACAAGTAATAATAATCATCATAATAATAATAATTACGTAGTTGTATGCAAATAGTATTACAATATTAGATAAATATTTTTATTTATATTAAAAAAAATGTACCTGTCAACGAAATTTAATCAACAAAAAAAAAATAACAAGTTTTTATTTATTTTTATTTATCTCCTTCTTCCTAAATAAATGATAATCATAAAAAATTACATAGTAAATATAAGTATACAAAAAAGAATAAAATTGGCTAAGACAAAATCTACCAACCTCGACTCTGAAAGGAAATCCATTCAAAGGACAATGTGTCGCAACCCCCTACTGCCGTCTAAATTTTGAAATATAGTCGCAACCCCTACTTCCGTATACCTCAATTTTATCAATTTTTAAATAAATGTTACATTTATTTCTTTTCCTCTTATATAATATATAATAATCCCTTGATTAATTAATTAATAATTGTTGTCCTCCTACAGAAAAACCAAACATTTGCGATAAACCGTTAGTATTTGGTTTATAGAACAACCTTTTTACGGGTTGAGCGTGGTAGGCCACAACGCCAGGTTTCCCTGACTCAGGTGTTTGAGCAAGATGTTTCTTGCTCCGTTATGATCCCTATCAATCTTAAAACCACATGAATTGCGTTTGTAAATTTTGTCCACATGTCTTTGATATGTAATCTTCTTTGCATAATTATTAATATTCTTCCCGAATTTTCACACATCTTGTGTTCTAAAAACATTTTTAAACCTGTAATGAGCCCAGGTTATCATCTTTCTCGCGGTTTTGCTGTTGATTTTTCGTTTCATCCTGTTCGTCATTTCTTGGATTTCGAATTCGGAAGTAGGATGAATTTGAAATTTTCACAAAGATATTTTGCAAATTTCTTGTGACAATCATCAATTAACCTTTTTGTGAATTTTTTCATTTTTCTTTTGATTTTCTTTTGTTTATTTTTTCTTTTAATAAAGATTTTTCGCTTTGATATTTGTAATATCGTTTTGATAACCTAAATGTCTTTTGGATGACATTTTTTCCACATTCAATTATATTTCCTTTTGGATCATACTGGTCATAAAGGTGTGAACACCTGGATCTAATGATATTATATCATTATTTTCTTTTGTAAATTTTTTACATGATATTGGTATACAGATATGAAATTCATTTAATTTGTTTCTGGTGAATGTTTAATAATTGTAATTTTTCTGATGTTTTGATACTTCTTAAAAATGAAAAATGTTTGCTTCTTTGTCTGTAAAATCTCTTGCTTTTATAGTTATTGAATCTTTCCCATTTTTTCTTGCTTTTGATTTGATTTCAAATCTTTTTTCTTGCTTTAAATTTGTATTATATGCTATGAGTAGTTCATTTAATGCCTCGTCTCTTATACCATCTGGTGTTTCTGTAACCCATTGGTTTTGTGTTTCAAAATTATTTTTATAAATTACTAATTTTCTTAATGTTTTTCGTGTTCCTTGTTTAATTAATTTTAATGCCTGGTTGTATGTCCATCTTGCCGTACCCATCCATCAATAATTTTTCTTTTTGCTCTTGGTTTGGGTACATTCGAATCTTTTGAACTTTCAATGGACCATCCTCCAAAATTTCCATTTTAACATCTTTTTTTTTTCTTAATCTTCTCGTGTTCTTCTTTCTTATTTAATATGACTTAAACTGTTATTCTTTGTTGTGAACATAAAAGATCATCTGTTGTGGGTCTGGATCCGATATTTTGAAATTAATATGAATCTGGCATTGAGTTCATAGGATTGTTAGAATTTGGTGATCGATATCTCCCTGGTATGTGGGTTCCAGAATGGATATCGATCAGAATCTCTTTCTACTAGGGATTGTAATGTACGAGACCCTTCTGCCACCATACCATCTTCTGAGGGTTGTGCATGAGACATATTTTTTGTATAAAATAGAAATTGGAATTTAATCAGTTAATTGCGATTAAAGTAGTCTGTTTAAATTTAACCGGTTAAAGTATATAGTTAAGGTTAACCGGTTAATTGGTTAAATTTAATATTTAAATAAAGAAAGAGGGGGAGGAAAGAGAAAAAGAGAGAAAATAGAAAGAGTGGGGAAAGAGAGAGAAAGCGGATAAATTTTTTAAAATATATTAATCAAGTAATTAACCGGATATTTCAATTTCTAGAGTAAAGAATTTAAAATTTAAAAAATAATTTGAAAAAATAAATTTAAAAATGTATTTATGACATACTGGAGT